TCTCCCTCTGACCCTCCCCCCTCTCATGTGCTCTCTCTCTCTCTCTCTCATTCTCTCTGTCTCAAATAAATAAATAAAATCTTTAAAAAAAAAGAGCAAAGAAGGAAAGGAGAAAGGAAGGATGGAGGAAGGCTATAATTTCTAAGGTCTGTTCTAGTTTCTAGAAGAAAAAAATCTATATTTATTTTCTCTCCCACAGCATAACCAAAACTGCTTTAACTAAGGTATCTACTTTGTTAGGAATTAACTGGTCATTTCCATCGTATTTTCTCTAACATGCTGTGGCAGTACACTTTGCTCAGCACTCAGCTGTTTGGTACTCTTGCCTTTCTTGGATTCTGAGCCCTCCTCCTTCCAAACTGCTCCATCGCCCCCTTCAAGGAATGGTACCCTCTGCGCATCCCAAATATTTTTCTCCAAGGTTCAACATTTATCTCTTTTAAACCTAACATTACTCCTGGAAGATCTTATCCTCATGCACATAACTACAGATGGCTTCCGGATCTACAACCCCAGCTGGAATTTTCTCTTCTACTTGAAACCCATATTTTCAATTTCATGCTAGGAAAAATTACCATAACCCCCTCCTGGATTGAGAAAATTAAATTGCTCAAGCACAAGCATCAACTTCTCACCCTTCTTCATACCAATGTACCAATTTACTCTTCCATCTAATATTTTCTCTGGTGTCAAAGGCAAATTACCCATTGATCAATTGAAGGTCAGCACATCTACTGTGCACTAGGCTGAATGCCCCTTTCTTCTCATTTCATTACAGACCTTGCTCCAGGATTCATTATAGTCTCTAACTAGATGATCTATGACTATTATGATTTAAACCTCATGCTCCCTGCTACTTTTTACCTTTCAGCTTTAAAAATACATGTACTTATAATCTAGCCAAATAAATAAATGGATAAATAATAAATTACCTCTCTGGAGCTGCCTTTCTTTTAACCACTCTAATTGAGATTTGGTCTTTTGCTTTCTCTTCTTTTTGTTTTTGTTTTAAAATCAATAAATTTTCATTTGAGGAATTTCACATGTGATTCCTTCTATCACCTTAGTTCTTTAAAAGTCTAAGTCATAATCTTCAAGATAGCCCTTTTAAAAAGAAGCCCTTCAAGATAGCCGTTTAAAAAAACTTTTACTCAATCCCCAGTTGTCATTGTAAGTCAGCCCATGGTTCTTTTGGTAGTTGGGCTTCTTTGATCTCTACTTGAATATGGATATACTTCAAAAATTCTCCATCTGTAGTCTTTAAGATCCAATTTCTTCAAGCAATTTACTTTAGTGCCCCAGAAGTCAAATTATAGGAAGTATATTGTTTGCTATTTTGGCAAATAATCTAAAATATATTATTCCTTAAATGTTTCTAATATTGAAAAGTCTTGTTACATCCACTCTTTACTCATGAGCCTAGCAAAAAATGTTACAGGTCTCATTGTCACCACTGCAATAAACTTACTGTGACGGAAGCATAACCTGTGTCTCAGTGTAGCCACTTTTGCCTTCCCTTCTTGATCATTTTTCTTGAAAGACTAGTATGTACTGGCAGCCAGGCTAGGCAGCAGCCCCACCCACCCTTGCACCATGGATGTGACCCCAAGATAGCAAATGCATGTGTGCAGCCCACACAGGGATGACCCTTGAGAACTAGCTCTATTAGTCAGAGGGAATTGTGTTTTGAGCTCCACATGACATCTCCTACAAAAGACCACTCCTTCAAAACTGGGAGAGGTAGTTGATTTGCTTAATACAGAGAGTCAGGGAAAGTGAGGAGATGAGGAATACATTCCAAACAAAAGAGCAAAGCAAAACATCAGAATAAAAGACATTAATGAAATTGGAATAAGCAATCTATGATAAAGTTCAAAGCAATGGTCATAAAGATACTCATCAAACTCAGGAGAGAGTTGGATGGATGGATAGATGAATACAATGAGACAGAAAATATAAGAAAGATCCAAACAGAAGTTACAGAGCTGAAGAATCATCAACGGAACTGAAAAATACAGTAAAGGGTTCAACAGCAGACTGGATAAAGCTGAAGATCAGATTAGTGACCTGGAAAACAAAGTAATAGAACTCACCCAACAGAACTCACAGCAACAAAAGGAAAAAAAAAATTAAAGAATGAAGATAAGTTAAAGGAGTCTCTGGGACAACATCAAGTGGAATAGCATTTGCATTAGGGTCCCAGAAAGAGAACAGAAAGAGAAAAACTAGAAAACTTATTTGAAGAAATAATGACTAAAAAATTCCCTAATCTTGGGGAGGAAACAGATATAGAGATCCAGGAAGCACAGAGGGTCCAAAATAAAATGAACCCAAAGAGAGCCACACCGAGACACATTGTAATTAAGAAGGTAAAAGGTAAAGATAAAGAGAGAATCTTAAAAGCAGTAAGATAAAAACAACATAATACATACAAGAAAAACCCCACCAGGCTATCAGCAGATTTCTCAGCAGAAATCTTTCTTTGGAAGCCAAAAAAGAGTGACACAATATATGTAAAGTGCTGAAAGAAAAAAACTTCCAACCAAGAATTTTCTACCAACTAAGATTATCATTCATAATTGAAGGCGAGATTAAGAGTTTTTTAGCTAAGCAAAAGCTAAAGCAGTTCATGAACACTAAATCTCCTTATAAGAAATATTAAAGGGACCTCTCTAAACTGAAAAGAAATGACACTAATTAATAACAGAAAACATACAGAAGTAAAAATCTCACTGGAAAAGGTAAATATATAATAAAGGTAGTGGATCAATCACTTTTTTTTTTAGATGCACATGTATTGATTCTCCCTATTGATTCTTTTTTTTTATTATGTTATGTTAATCACCATGCATTACATCATTACTTTTTGATGTAGTGTTCCATGATTCATTGTTTGCGTATAACACCCAGTGCTCTATTCACTATGTGCCCTCTTTAATACCCATCACCAGGCTAACTCATCCCTGCACCCCTCTCCCCTCTAGAACCCTCAGTTTGTTTCTCAGAGTCCATAGTCTCTCATGGTTCGTCTCCCCCTCTGATAAACATTGGGGAGGGTATGTGCTATGGTGAGCACTGTGAATTGTGTAAGACTGCTGAATCACAGACCTGTACCTCTGAAAAAATAATACATTATATGTTAAAAAGAAAAGAAGAAGATAGCAGGAAGGGAAAAGTGGATCAATCACTTTTTTTTTAATTTGTTTTTATTTTTTATTTATTTATTTGAGAGAGAGAGAGAGAAACAGCATGAGAGGTGATAGGGTCAGAGGGAGAAGCAGGCTCCCCGCTGAGCCGAGAGCCCAATGTGGGACTCGATCCCAGGACTCTGGGATCATGACCTGAGCCGAAGGCAGTCGCTTAACCAACTGAGCCACCCAGGCGCCCAAGGATCAATCACTTTTAAAGCAACTATTTTAATCTTCATAGTAAAATAGTAAGAATAGTAAAATTAACTAAAACTACAATAATTAATTGAAAGATGAATAAAATAAGAAAATGTAAAGTGTGACATCAAAAATGCAAAACATGCATTCATTTATCTGGACACTTGCTTCCACATCTTGGCTATTATAAATAATGCTGCAATAAACATAAGGGTGCTTATATCTTTTTTAATTAGTGTTTTTATTTTCTTTGAGTAAATACCCACTAGTAGAATTATTGGATCAGATGGTAATTCTATTTTTAATTTTTTGAGAAAACTCCATATTTTTTTCCACAGTGGTTGCACAAATTTGCATTCCCACCAACAGTGCAGGAGGGTTCCTGGTGAAATTTAAGAAACAAAGAAAAAAAGAGACAAACAACAACACAAAAACCCAGACTGAGGTTTGGGTTTTTAATACAGAGAACAAACATAGTTGCCAGAGCAGAGGTAGGTAGGGGGATGGGTGAAATAGATAAAGGCAGGTAAGAGTACATTTACCTTAATGAGTACCGACAAGTGTACAGAATTGTTGAATCATTATATTGTACTCTTGAAACTTATGAAACATTGTACATTAATTACACTTGAATTAAAAAATGTAAAAAATTTTAAAAGGAAAAAATTCTGAGGGGGGTGAAAAAATGTAAATTTTGGAATATGTTCAAATGTAAGTTACTATCAACTTAGTCATATATGTAGGAAGTTATATGCAGACCTCATGGTAATCACAATGCAAAAACTTACACTAAATACACAAAAGAAAATGAGAAAGGAATCTAAACCTATCACTAAAGAAAGCCAGCAAACCACAAGGAAAGAGAGAAAGAGAAGAAAGGAACAGAGAGGAACTATGAAAACAGCCATAAAGGAATTAACAAAATGGCAGTAAGTACATACATATCAATAGTTACTTAAGGAAGGAAATAATGAAAATAAGAGTGGAAATAAATGAAATAGAGATTAAAAAAATAGAAAAGATCAATGAAACTAAGAGCTAATTTTTTGTAAAAATAAACAAAATGAGCCTGGTGATGGGTATTAAGGAGGGCATGTATAGCGTGGAGCACTGGATGTTATACACAAACAATGGAACATTACATCAAAAACTAATGATGTACTGTATAGTGACTAACATTACATAATAAAATAATAATAATAATAAAAGAAAAAGAAAAACCTTTAGCTAGACTAACCAAGAAAAAAGAGGGCTCTAATGAAAAAAAATCTTGGAAATAGAAATTACAACTGACACCACAGAAATACAAAGATCATAAGAGACTGCTATGAACAATTATACACCCAACAAATTGGACAAACTAGAAGAAATAGATGAATTCCTAGAAATATAAAATATTCCTAGATTGAATCATGAATAAATAGAAAATCTAAATAGACCAATTGCTAGTAAGGATATTAAATCAGTAATCTGAAACCTCTCAACAAACAAAAAGTCAGGGGCAGATGGCTTCACTGGTGAATTCCACAAAACATACAAAGATTTAATACCTATCCTCAAACTCGTCCCAAAAATTGGAGATGATGGGATACTTCCAAACTCATTTTACGAGACCAGCATTACCCTGATACCAAAACAGGACAAAGAAAAGAAAATTTCAGCCAATATCACTGATGAACATTGATGCAAAAATCCTCAGTAAAATGTTAGCAAACTGAATTCCACAATACATTAAAAGGATGTCTCTCAAAAAATAAAATAAAATAAAATAAAAATAACAGGATCATATACCATGATCAAGTGTGATTTATTCTAGGGATGCAAGGATGGTTCAACATCCATGAATCATTCAACATGATACACATTAACAAAATCAAAGATAAAAATCACATTAGTGATCATCTCAATAGATGCAGAAAAAACATTTGAAAAAATTCAACATCCATTTATGATAAAAGCTCTGAACAAAGTGGTTATAGAGGGAAAGTTCCTAAACATAATAAAAGCCATATGTAACAAACACACAGGTAACATCATACTCAATGGTAAAAAGGTGAAAAGTTTCTCTCTAAGATCAGGAACAAGATAAACATGTCCACTTTCACCACTTTTATTCACCATAATATTGGAAGTCCTAGCTGCAGCATTTAGGCAAGAAAAAGAAATAAAGTGCATCTCCATCAGAAATGAAGAAAAGAAACTGTCACTATTTGCAGATGACTTGATACCATATATAGGAAACCCAAAGCCTCCACCAAAAAACTGTTAGAACTAATTAATGAATTCAGCAAAGTAGCCACATGCAAAATTAACATACAGAAATCTGTGGCATTTCTAAACACTAATGAGTTATCAGAAAGACAAATTAAGGAAACAGTCTCATTTAAAATTGCATCAAAAGAATAAAATACCTAGGAATAAATTTAATCAAGGAAGGAAAGATCTGTACACTGAAAACTATGACGTTGATGAAGGGAATTGAAGAAGACACAAATAAATGGAAAGATATTCCATGCTCAGGGATTGGAAGAATTAATATTATTAAAATGTCCATACTACCCAAAGAAATGTACAGATTTAATGAAATCCCTATTGAAATTCCAATGACATTTTTCACAGAACTAAAGCAAATAATTCTAAAATTTGTATGGAGCCACAAAATATCCTGAATCGCCAAAGCAATCTTGAGAAAGAATAACAGAGCTGGAAGTATCATGCACCCTGATTTCAAACTATACTACAAAGCTATAGTAATCAAAGCAGTATGGCATTGGCATAAAAATAAATAGATACATATCAATGGAATAAAAATGATAGCCCAGAGTTAAAAGCACACAAATATGGACAATTAATTTATGACAAGGAACCAAGAACAGACAAAGGACAGTCTCTCAATAAAAGGTGATAGTGAAAGTGGACAGCCACATGCAAAGGAATGAAACTAGACCACTATCTCACCCTATACACAAAAATTAACTCTAAGGGGATTAAAGACTTGAATGTAAAACCTGAAACTATAAAATTCTAGAAGAAAATGTAGGTAGTAAGCTCCTTGACATTGGTCTTGACAATACTTTTATGGATCTGACTCCAAAGGTAAGGATAACAAAAGCAAAAATAAATGAGGATTACATCAAACTAAAAAGCTTCTGCACAG